CACCTTGTACCCCCGCAGGAGATAAACAGGCGGGGGGGCGGCGGCGCGGCCCCGGGGGGCCGGCGGGGGGGTGGCTATGCGGCGTACATCGATACCCCACCTGGGTGGCTGCTCCGACACACACAACACGATGCTCTTGCACAATTGTTTCGTCGTCTGTCACTTGCGGAGGGTCTGGAAGGGCCCCAGCCCAGCGCCGCTGGGCACGGCCTGTGGGCAAGGTCACTTTTCCTTCTTGGCAGCTTCTGTCGTCTCTTCTTTGGAGGCCCCCGGCACCTCCTTGGGGGTAGAGCTCTCCTCGTAGCTGGGGACGAGAGGGACAAGAGGGAGGAGTGAGTGGGGCCAGACCTTCTCTGGGGACAGACTTGTGCCAGGCAAGGACAGCCCAGCCCGGGGCGGCAGGCTCGGGGTCTGCCCTGCTGCAGCGGCCAGGCCGTGCCGAGGAGGGGTGGGCTCCAGCCATCAGCCCCCCCAGTGTAGGAAACCTGACGGGGCAGAGCCCAGGCGGGGAGATGAACGCTGCGACACCCCCCCGGACACCTCCAGGGATGGGGTGCACCCAGCCAGGGGCTGGGGCTTCCCCCGCCGAGCCCTCAGGCCAGCTCCGTGCCCGGGGGGTCCATCCGCCTGTCAGCGCCCGTCGTCGCTCCCGAGAGCACCGTCGGATATCCCGAACAGCACGTCGCTTCCCCCCACGCTGCCATGCTGAGCACTGGTGCCAGCGAGGCCAGTTAGCGGGGGGGAGCTGCAGCAAGACCGACAGCGGCGATCCCCCCCAGGGACTCACTCCTCTGGCTGCAAAGCCCCCCAGCACCATCCCCGGGGCCCTTGCAAAGGAAACCTGGGAGCGCTGCCTTCCAGCAGGAAGCACGACGAGGGCAGAGATGTCAAATCCTCTCCCCCCTCACAGTCTCCCCTCAAAGAGAGGGAGAGAAGCCGGCCCGCAGCAGCGAGGCGACAGCTACTGCCTCTGACCGGGGAAAGGGGAGAGCCGGGACCAGCCCCTACCTGGCCAGTGACAGACAGAGAAAGGGCACCGCGTGCGATTGCTACATGGCACTAGGGCTTTGCTGCCGGCGTCGGCGGGGACAGGACAGTTTCTGCTGCATGGAATCAGCAAGGCTGGCCGGCGAGCCGGACACGGTGGGGAAGTGGGTAAGTCGTGGTGTGTGTGGCAAGATTTCAGCAGAGGATTCATAGCTGCAGGAGAGAGAGGAAGCAGGAGGGGACAGGGGGAAGACGAGGACAGAAAGGAAAGGGGTTGGGGGGGAAGAGAGAGAAAAAGCAGAAGAGTTTTGGAGCGAGGCTGCTGCAGACCCGCCACCCTGTGCAGGCAGCCTGCTGTCCCCTCCAGCTGCTGGCACCCACTAACTCAGGCTGGGGTGGCCACGGGGCCGTGCTGGCAGGCTCCTGCCTGCACTCCCCTTGCCTGCAGACCCCAGGGCAGGGCTCCAGCACGGAAGACTGAGGGCCGAGACGCGCGGAGAAGGCAGCTCCCGCTGGCATGAGTAGAGCCAGGCAGACGGAGCCCACGGGAGAGCAAGCCTGGGCACCAGGAAGGCAGCGGCAGAGCGGCCCAGGGGCTGTGCAGGCAGCAGACCGATGCGGCAGAACCCTTCCTGCCGCTCGAGGACAGCGCGCCTGCAGCAGGTGTGAGCGGCGGGACGGGTTCCCCACTGCTGACGGAGGCAGAGCGAAGGTTACTGCCTGCCCAGGGAGGCTCGGCAAGGCTGGGAGCCGCAAAACTGATCCCGATGTCGCCCACCTCCGCTCCATCGGCGCCCCTTCCCCAGGCCTGCAGCACAGATCTGCCCGCTCCCACCCTCCCCGTAGCGCTGTCTTGTACTCGCCACTGCGTCAGACCCTCGCTGCCCTCTCCCAGGGGAGCCAACGGCTGCTGCGAGACACCACGTGCAGGCAGCTCACTGTGTGCAGGCAGCTGGTCGGCAGAGACCACAGGGGAGCTGCCAGCTCCGGGCTGCCGTCAGCGTGGGGAGGAGCAGGACGCACCAAAACCACGCAGGGGAGCTACACCTGGTGGGATTCCTGCGGTGGGAGCCACTGCCCTCCAGGCACGAGTCCCATCGCGTCCCACTTCCTCTGCCTGCAGCTGGAGCGACTTCAAGGGGGTCCGACCCCAGTGCCCGTCACGGTTGCAACCCCCCAGCCTCCCGCGCTTGCCCTGGCAGCGCTCAGCAAACAACAGTGGGCAGCGCTTTGCTGCTGGAGCAGCTCGTGCTAATGCTCTGCGGGGGCATTAGCCCCCCGTGACCGGCTGCCAGGCTCCCCTGGGCCGCCTTGCTGCCGGGCGGGCCGGACTCGCAGCTGGTCTCTCCCCAGTTTCCTAGCGCGGGAGGTGGTGCTGCTGTCAGCTGGTGAGTCACGGCGCTGGGGAGAGCGGCTGCAGGATCCCAGGTGCACAGGAAGGACGATCCCAGGACACTCGGCGCCTGCAGCAGCGATCGTCAGAAGCAGACATCAAAGGACGGGCAGGTGCGGCAGGGCTGGGGAGCCGGCCCAGCTGACAGCCCGGTGGGAACACGCATACCTGCGTCTCCCAGGGGAGGGGAAGGAGGCGAGGGCAGCTGGCTCACCACCACGCCCCAGTTGCGCTG